ACACTCTCGACATACGACGGTACCTCCGACCCAGACGATCACCTGGAAGACATCGAGGTCATGCTCGACTACCAAAATGTCCGAGGAGCTATCAAATGCAGACTATTCCCGACGACGTTGAGGAAAGGTGCCATGATGTGGTACAAAAGTCTGGAGCCCGAATCGGTTACATCATGGAAGGTTCTGAAAGACCTGTTTTCGAAACACTTCACAGCATCCCGACGTCATTCGAAGACGGAAGCCGCCCTCAGCACTATAATCCAAGCTCCCGACGAGCGCCTCCAGAACTACATCGAAAGATTCACGCGGGAAGCGGTACAAGTAACAACGTCGGACGAAATAAAACGTTACTTAATGGAGCAGGGCATGCGCCGCGATTCCAAGTTCTATGAAGCTGTGGGCATACACCAACCAGCCTCTCTACAGGATTTCCTCGACAAAGCCGCGCATTATATCCGATTCGAGGAAACCCAGGCGACCAACTCCGCCCGAGACACCCGAGACAAGGAGACCCCCCGCGAGCATCGAGAGGACGGAGCTTCAAGACACCGGCGCGGAGGCGATCACCAAAGGGAGGATCTCCCCCGAGAACAACGCGAGCAGCGCGGTCCCGCCGGCCGATTCACGGGGTATACAACCCTAGTCGCTTCCCGCGAGCGCATACTAGCCGAGTGCGCCAAGACCGAATTCGTCCAGGGAGGTGTCCGCTTCCCCAAACCGACACCCCCCAAGACCAACATGGACAAATCGAAGTATTTCCGTTTCCACAGGAGCCACAGGCACGTTACAGAGGACTGCATCCACCTCAAGGACGCGACCAAAATCCTGATTAAAGACGACCACCTGAAGAGATACACCCGGGGAGGAGAAACCCCGAGGCAAGACGCTTCTGAGGCCAAGAAAGTCGAAGAGCTTCCCTCTTCGGACGGTGACAACGGACTCTAGGTCGCCCTCTGCGTCAGCCGCCCTGAGGATTGGTTCGCTCGTAGAGAATTCGGCCTCCCCGACGGCCCCGATCTGCCCGACGAGCCGGTACGCCCCACCAGTCGATGGGAATACTTTCCAAGAGCCATGGTCATCTCCGGCGGACCCCCGAGGAACCTATCCGTATGATCGATAAAGAGAAAGTTCGAAGAGCTCATCACAAGCAACTCCGACAAGATGAGCACTCTCGATAAATTTCGCGGCCGATCCAATCCGATCACGTTTTACCTCGAGGAACTTCCCGGGGGCTCTCCCAACTCCAACATTCCCCTGCTGATACGAGCACATATGGCGAACTTCGATGTCAGACGCATCCTGGTCGACGGAGGCAGCTCGATGGACATCATGTACACCCACCTCTTCATGACCCTCCAACTCGACGAATCCAACCTATCCCCCTACGTGGGCTCTGACCTCCAAGGGTTCAACGGGACAACGACAAGACCGTGGGGGTACATAGAGCTAAAAGTCACATTCGGGGAGGATGAAACTGCCAGGGAGATCAATATCTGCTTCCTGGTCATCGAGTGTCCGTCCCTCTACAATTGTATCCTAGGCAGGACGACGATGACAGAACTCACCGCGGTACCCTCCACCGTCCACCTAAAAATGAACCGTTCTATAATTGGTTAACATTGCATTAAATTCTTTAATTTGTTTATTATTTTGTTTACTTGTAAAAATATCTTTTAAAAACATTGATTTTTCACATATGCACTGCAGTTTCAGAATCAAGATTCAATTTAATTTCAGATACTACTTGAATGCATAAAGTACTATTGTCCGACCTCCCATAAAGTGATTCATACCTGAATAACATTACAGACGTCTAACATATCGCTAAATTTCATTAGTTAACGCTGATATTTATTTTCAATTTTTGACTTTCTTTGATGTATTTTACATTGATTTCATCATCGTTTATTTTTGTTGTTTACATTTTGTTTATTTAAAATTTGCATTATTAATTACTGTATTATGTATCCCGATTCGACAAAATTGTACTCCCATTCCCATCAAAGATGTAATAATTTTACCGCTTTCATTTTCTGCTTTTATTGTATTGGTTGATCGTTAATTCAAAAATTAAAATCAACAACTTTCAGAAAAGAACAAAAACAAACACCCGATCTAAACTATTTTCATGATCAATACTTGAATGCAGCATTGAGCATATACCCCCGCCACATCCAAACTATTTTCATGATCAATTTACAACACTTGATCCAACGTCAAGTTTTTGATGCAAACTTTTCTGTGATAAAATTGAAAGACAAAAGACCGAGAGATGCATATCTCTTTACACCCCTTAATAGTCGAGCGTTCGTAGCGCACCAGATTCAAACAATTATTGTTCTTTCAAACCAAATACCCATTTAGAATAAAGGGACATTGAAAGCACACTCACGTGAATCCTGAGTAAACGCGCGCTTGGTACACACCTCTACTCAAATGTTTAATCATTTCACGCAAAACTTAAACTTTTTTTTATAAATAAGTATGCTTTATCCATGTCGATGTGAAAGAAACAAAGACTTATGTCTCCAAGAGTGAGCAATAAGTAAAAGTTTAAAACACTCGATATGTCTAAAGGTTTATTCCTTAAAAGAAATCAACTCAGTAGTTCTTAGTAGCTAGAACTATGGAGCTCTGATTTCTCATTTCACCATGAGAATACGTAGGCACAAGATTTTGATATCTTGACGAGCACAATAATGTATAAAAACCTTAAGTCTTTGATCTCTTTCTTTCTCTTTTATCACTCAATAAGTAGAAGATTGCAAACAATAACATGCTAACACTCTAACGCTGAGCTAACTAAATGGGTCCATCGAGTATGATGGATGTGAGATGTGCTAATACCTTCCTCTTATATAACCGGCTTCCGAACTCGATTTGCTTGCGAAGACTATTTTATTTTTGTTTTTTGTTGGGTTTGTTGATATTTTCCCTTTCCCTCTTTGAGAATAAATACAGTTAGGTAGTAAATCTGTTTTGTTTATATTTCGAGCGTTCCTTACGCCCGAGTATTTTTCGCCCACACGACAGTTACACGATCGTCTCCCGCTGAAGGTGGCATCCCACAAGTTGAAGATGAATAACTTCCGTAAGAGTCCGATGCATGAGTAGGTCGGACGAATTGTACATGATTTCGGTATCCTCTCATTTATCGACTGCTTACTCACCATGCTTGACACTTCACTTCTTACTACTTTTGTTGAGCGATGACACAAGGAGACATCTTCCTTTAATCTTCCGTTTAGGGAGATGACTATCACTCTGGATGATGTATCCTCTTTGTTCCATCTCCCCATCGGCGTTAGATTCTTCACCATTCCTATTATTAGCTAAAAACTTGCATGTATGATGGTTGTACGGGATTTGGGATTTACTGAGGAGGCCATGCTAAGGAGTTTTATTTTAATAAGGGAGCTCACATTTAGATGTCTTGGCTTCAGGATAGGTACGACGAGCTTGTGGAAACTCAAATGTATGAGGCTGCCGTTATGGTGACATGCTACATCTAGTAGCATGTACTCTATTTGCGGATAAATATCATGTTCATATTGACGCTTGATACATGTGGTTATTCAGTAGCTTTGACGATACCAATTGGGCTTGAGGTGTCATGCATTGACCATCATATATACAACACTCAAAGTTACGATTGCCTTTGAAGCCAAATAACTTGCTGGTTATTTGAGTATATTCCATGTATACTTGAAATTCTTATTTTTAGTTTGGGTCTTATTTAATTGTTACAAATAACATTTCTTAATTATTATTTGTTGTGTATGTGTTGTGTTATTTTATCAATGATCATTTCCCGACCATCTGTGACAGGAGGATGCAACATACCCCTACGAGCGCCCCACATGCAATAAAAATATATTAGTTTGTTATGTCATACAATTAATTTAAAATTTTAAGTATGATGTGACAAAATGTATGAGGGTGATTGATTGACAATATAAAATAATTTTACATTGTCCGTACATATTAATTAAATTATATTTTAAAAGAGATTAATTGTTATGCACTTTTATAAAAAGTTTTACATTATCAATACATCACAATCATCCTCCATTAGTATTACTTTTTTGGTAATGGTAACTTATGCCCTTGGGGCAAAGTTAAGAGATAAATATAAGAAATAATTCTTGGAAATTGTGTAATAAATTTAATACAGCTTTATAATTAATGACTTTATTATTTTTTTTCATATATATTTTCTAGCTGTGAGTTTTTTTAACATGTGCCCCAAGGATTTAGATGCTCTCCTTTTTTATATATCATGCCATCTCTCATGTTTCTAATCAAACAGTTCAGAGTTTATAATGAATAATTTATTAAAAAAGTCATTTAATAGGTTATCCATTTCTCTCTCCTATTTAATAATTTTTTTTAATTAATTATTTTTTATAAATTCTGAATCGGTTAGATTAGAAACATGAGAGATGTCATTATATATAAAAAAGAAGAAGATCCAAATCCGTGTTCCAAGAACACAAGTTAGCATTACTCTTACTTTTTAAATAGTTAAATTTAATGTCAACCTTTTTAAACAAAATCAATTGTGATTAATTGATGGTATAAAAAATCTGGATTTTTTTTCTCTCTTCTTGAAATATATAATATTTTTAAATCACATATTTCATAGACCAATATATATTATATCAGAAAAATAAATACCAGTCTCTCTCCCCCCAAAATTAAAACCCTAACAAAATTCGAAGCTCTCACGGCAACGCCATCGATCCCCATTTCTCTTTGAATCAAAGGTAACTCACCCCTAATCCATAATCATCTCTTCATTCTATCGTTCTTCAATTTCGATTTTCACCAATCTCCCGTATTCTCCTTCAAATTTCTTTCTCTACGAATAATTCAATTTCCTCGCTGATTTCGATTCACCGTTCTTGAATTATCCACTAGGGCATAAAAGTTTATTTGTTTTCAATCGCAACTTCTTGTTACTTGATTCCTTATTATTGAATTTGCTGCAGACGAACAGAATGAGTAGACGTTCGAGCAGAACCGTCTATGTTGGGAATCTACCCGGCGATATCCGTGAAAGAGAAGTTGAAGATTTGTTCATGAAGGTTATTTCTGATTTCTGATTTGTTTTATTTTCATTTTAATCTGAAATATTTCTCACTAGTTAGGGTTTTGGTTTTGGGTTTCAAGTGTTGGGCGATCTGCTGAAATTAATGTCACCTAAATCTACAACTTGAAAGATTTCATCTTGCTATGATCTATATCTACACTTGCTTTATTCCATTATATGTGGATTTAAGTATTCTACACTACTACTAGTTTATGCATCATTGCTTGTTCTTTACCTATCTTATAAATTTCGCTTTTGTAGTATGGACACATAACTCACATTGACCTAAAGGTTCCGCCGAGGCCCCCTGGCTATGCATTTGTAGAGGTGAGTTGGGAGATATGTAGGTTATTGAAAATTCCTCCTCTTTTTCTTTTAAGCTTCTAATAGGGGACTGATTTCTTTTGCAGTTTGATGATGCTCAAGATGCTGAGGATGCAATTCGCGGCCGTGATGGTTATGATTTTGACGGACACCGGTTACGGGTTGGTTATGTTTTACATTTACATGCTTTAATGTTATTATAACCTTAATTACTTCCGTCAGAAGAGGGGGGCATGATAGATGCAATAACTAAATATTGTTTAAACCTGGACTTTATAGGTGGAGGCTGCTCATGGTGGCCGGGGTACTGGCAATTCATCTTCAAGAGATCGCCATAGTAGTCAAAGCAATGGCAGGGGTGGGCGTGGAGTATCCAGACGCTCTGAATATCGTGGTGTGTAGGCTTTTTAGAACATTGATTATGTTTTATTTGAGAATGCTTTTGGTGTGCTTCATAAATTTTGAGCCCTCTTTTGCAGTTTTAGTCAGTGGATTGCCATCTTCTGCATCCTGGCAGGATCTTAAGGTGATATATTGTGTTCATTACGGGGTGATCAGATTATTTATTTGGGCGCTTAACAATCAATTAATGGTTTTCTTAAATGCAGGATCACATGCGAAAAGCAGGGGATGTTTGCTTTTCCCAAGTTTTTCATGATGGAAGGGGTACAGGACCTTCATATAACTTTTTTCAGTCTAGTAGTGCCCTTTGTATTATATATTAGTCTTAGTTATTAAGAAGTTTGAAGTTTTGAAATTGCTGGTTTATTATTCCCCCTTCCGACAGCTGTCATCTTAGACCACCCACATCTCCATCACACTCATTTGAGTTCTTTAAATGAGCCCCACTTGATTTTTAATATTATTTCACTCTTTTTAATTGTTTAAACAACTCAACTACATTTTCTAATTATCCATGCAATCTATCAACAACTCTAAAATGGGTCCCACTGGACCCAATAATATATCCCACATTTTCATTTACTTTTAATTATATATATTTTTAATTCAACTTAATGGGATAGGAACACGGTCTTGGATATAACAATATGGTAGAATTTGATTCATGTAGTCAACTCCACTTAGTGAGATAAGGCTTGAATGTTGTTATTGTATATTTTTTTAATCCAACTGAAATGACAAGTACCGTTGTTTAGTATGGCAATATTGGCAAGTTAAAGAATGTTTTTATAAATAAAGTATTCATAAAATTCAGACATAGTTTTGTTGGTATTGGTGAAAACACTGTATGCACTAACCAATATGTATGCTATTTGTTACATCTATGTTATGGTAGCCTTTTAGAAAAGTTAGATTTTTTTAATATGACTCGATGAGCTATTTAATGTAGTGTGATTGATTTTCAGGTACTACTGGGATTGTGGATTACACCAACTATGATGACATGAAATATGCTGTGAGTCACTACTTCACTTATATGGTTATATTTATTTCAAAGGATATAATGGACAGCTTAAGCCTTTTGTGAGCTTTGCATTGTTGTGATTTTATAATTCTTTTTGCTGCAGATCAAAAAGCTTGATGACTCTGAGTTCCGGAATGCATTTTCCAAGTCTTATGTTCGCGTATGACCTGAATTGGATTTTTAAAAATATTTTTTCCAATGCATGTCACTTCTATTGATATTTCTTTCCTCTTTTTGCTCATGTAGGTGAGAGAATATGATTCAAGGCGGGACTCTAGAAGTCCTAGTCGTGGCCCATCTCATTCTAGAGGAAGAAGCTACAGCCGTAGCCGTAGCCGCAGTCGTAGTGACAGTCCTGTGCGAAGCCCAAGGTTTGTTCAACAAATGTATTGGATTCTAAGATTCCTTCTGTAAAGATTTCATCTTGTTTTTTTCCTAAATAAAACTTTTGTATGTCATACAGCAAATCTCCAAAGGGTAAATCCTCACAACGGTCACCTGCTAAATCTCCAGCCAGATCGGTTTCTCGTTCTCGCTCAAGATCTAGATCCCGTTCATTATCAGGGTATGAAATGTTTAAATGTGTACACACATACATAGCTATTAATATTTGTCTGATGGCTAATCTTTTGAAGTATATTTTGATTGTTGTTTGGGTTTGACGCCCAACTTGGGCATTTAGTAATCTATTTGGAGTTTCTTAGATTAGTGCTCGGACAAAAAGTGTCCTCTTAAAAGAGCCATATTAATAGGTTGCATGGAGGGACATTCTATAATTATGGGTATTGATAATGAACAAAATAGAAGCAGTCAGAGTTTCATTCATGAAACAATTAATTTCAAGCATATATTGTCTTGGCGAAGTTTTAGTATAAACAACTTTAGCTTCTACGGTTTTGTCTTACCAAGTCAGTTGTCTTTGCCATCTGTTGTTTCGGGTTGGTAAGCATCCTAGTGAACTTAGTTTTGTTAAACTTCCTTCTTTTATCAAGTGAAAGTCATAGACCAACAGTATGTGAATAAGTTTTCTTTTTTAAAACTCAAACTATTGCTCTCTTCACATCCCCTCGTGTCATTTTTTTTCTTTCATGCATTGCTCGCGCGGTATCCGGAGAAACACACCTCTTAGTCGGATTGTTCTCTTTCAGTTTCCTTTTGTTTTTGTGAAAATTACTTTGTTTTTTCTTAGATATGGAAATTGCGGCATACTGGAAATTGGAAATTAGGGACTTGGTGGGATTTGTTTCAATTGCCTGCAACTCAATTTGTTGTGGAGGTATGATATTTTTTAGAGATGGGTGCCTTTGGATACCCTCATAGTACATTTGTTCTAATACTTTTAGCATGTAAATGTCCATGGGTGCTAGATTGGGAAACAACGAGATCATGGATTGCCATTTTAGCATGTAAAGGAAATTGGATTTGGAAATCTCCACCAATGAAGCACTAGGGTGTACTGTCTGGATTTTGTGGTGCAGTGGAAGATTTCTTTTCTCCAGTTCACCGGTGTCTTAAAGTTGAACCCTATGATGGTTTATTTTCCATTCATTTTTCATTAAATTACTATGCATTTGATGCCCATAACTTTGCATTCTTTAGCTTTCTCTGTTGTGTTTTTTTTTGTAATATTTTTATATTTTATGATATTTGTTTTTTACCTCTCTTGGGTTTGCAAACTGTGACATTGGAGAGACATCAAGGCTGTTGGATCAAATTTGATAAGGGGACTTGTGGATTTAAATTCTGTTGTTTGTGGAACTTTTGCAGATCACGGTCAAGGTCAAGGTCTCCATTACCTCTGGTGAGTGAATTTTCTCTAACTACCATTGAACATTAATTTTCTTCTTTTCCCTTGTATTGGCTGAATTAGTGTTTTTAAAATCAACTCATGTTATAATAAGGCCAATCGCGAGGGAGACTTGAGTTTCTCTGGGCACAATGTATATGATTCATGCTATTCAAAACATACTTTTAGATGTTGTTTGCATCATAAAATGGGAATCATAGCTTTATATCATGCTATGCATTACCACAAGAACATATGGGTGAAGCGTATTTGCAGTTTTAAAGTTATGTATATGTATGGTATTTTGGGCATTCCCATTAATGATTTTATTATCAGCGTAACAAAAGCCCCATAAAGCGCAGTGCTAGCAGGAGTCCAAGTAGGAGCAGGAGTCCAAGTAGGAGCCGCAGCAAAAGTTTATCCAGGTCACTATCTTGAGATCTTTCATCCTTGATGATGTATTTTTTTTGTTGCATTTGTTTTAATTAAATTTGTTTGATACTCTACTGGCTTAATGCTCATCCGTATTCTGTTTGGGACTTGGTCTGGCAGGTGAGCTCTAATTGTTGCAATTGAAGAAGTGGATGAGGGTGAGTGCTACAAAGTTTTTTCTAGTTAAATTTGATATTGGCCGGGTTGAAGTTGTTTGAACAGTAAACTCCTTTGAACTGTACTCGAGACCTGAGACCTGTGCCTTTTTTGGCACCTTAGGTTATGAGGAAATTGATGGACCTTAATTTTATACGGTAGTAAACTGTTGAATGTCAAACTTACTATTTAGTTCCTTGTTTGGATTTATTTTGTAATTTGTATTGGCCATATTAACATTATTATTATAAATGTGTGGCGATACATTTGCCAGATCCTTTGTGTCTTATGGATCTAGTATCTGTTTGGTTGAAGAAAAATGGAAGGGAGTGAAACCAAATTTAGCTCTCCTTCGTAAGTGGTGGAAATTGGATTCTATGCATTCAGTGAATTCACGTATTTGAAGATTTAGTGACATTTCGATTAAGATCTGCTGATTTAGAAAAATATAAATTTTAACTTTAATAGTTTAAAATTCACAACTTAAATCATGACCATCTGATTTTGACAAGTCACTAATATTCCTTCACCTTGATCTGCAGCCAAATTTGAAAGGGAACAAATTTCATTTTATTTGACATGACCTCCAATATAATTTTATACTTTTCTTATGTTAAAATTCATCCCTTCACCTTGATCACCCAAACTCGACATCTTATAATTCCTTCTCTTGGATGAACGGATCCTAAAGAACCCATCATTAAAAGGATTGAAACTTGTCAAATAACTTTTATCTGTAGCTTTTATTATGCTATGCTTTTGCAAGTTGAAATTAAAGGGATACTCCGCTAGAGAAAAGATAAGGTTTAACTAAAATGATGTTCTTTTACAAATGATCCATTTCGGAACACAGTAATTTTTATTTCAAGAATAAAAAAGCACGTGAAAAATAGGGTGTGGCTATCATTATCATCCCTTTACTTGAGATAAGAAATGTGTGACTGGTCTGAATTTATATAACGGTTGGTGCCATACAGAAACAAGTTGATTGTCAAGTCGCCACAACTGTGGTTTGTGCTATGTCTGTCCTTTTTCTACTTGTGTGGTTGTGCTTTATTTTATTTCCTATCAATTCTTTACAATGTAAAGTACTGTTGCTTTCAATTAGACTCTTTCATCATTGAACTCTTCATTTATTGCTACTGATGGCTTCTATGTTGTGAATCTGTGGCATACCATTGCGCAACAAAAATAAATAGATAAATTGGTTTCATAAATTAAGACTAGTTGCAATCACTTACACTGTAAAAAAAAGTTGCAATCACTTACTACCTCTTTTACTCTTCTCATAACAGTGAATGATCAATTTATTTCACCCTAGTAGAAAGGCAAAAAAAAAAAAAAAATACTAAAACACATTCGACATAAATTTTAGAAGGATTGGTAGAAAAGATTCATTGAACCTTATAAGTTATAACAAAAAATTAAATAATTCAATGAACCAACAATATTTAAATATATGGTTGGACTTGGACTGTTAAATTTACATTGGAGTAGGTGAAATTTGACTATACATTAATTCTTAGCCAAAATTTCAAATAAATATTATTTTTAAAGCCACAAAATTGATTTTTTTTTGTTTTTGGTAACAACAAGAAAAATGAAATTTAAATGAGAAATGATTTAATAACATTATTTTTTCTTTTAATAATTTTTTTAAAAATTATTTCATTTATTACAACGTGTCCATTACTGTGTGCGAGCCATTTATCGAAAACTGTGTCGGTAACACTAGAATCGTTACTATTAACCGTTTGATTAAAATATAAAATGTATATATACACCAACACATGACCAGAAACATAACACATTTCCAACACCACTTCCTCGACAATTCTTGTGGTTTAGAAACAACAATCTCAAAAATGTTGTCAGAATTAACAGATGACATAATTCTCAAGATACTATGGAAGGTTGAAGAAGACCCTCGTGACTGGGCTCGTCTCTCTTGCGTCTCTTCCAAGCTCAATTCTCTCATCCATGCTTTCTGCTGGAAGAACAAATCTTCTCTCACCATCCCTTCCGAGCTTCTCTCTTCTTCTTCCTCACAAGATCACTCTCTTCACAAACTTACCTTCTGTTGTCCCGGTCCTCTCCACGCCGGTATCCTCTTCAACAACACCGCCGATTTCCCCGACGAACACTACCACCAACAACCCACCACCACAAACAACCCACCACCGCCAATACCATCTTCATCTTCTCTTCCTCCTCAACCCATTTGGTCACTTTACGATGATCTATATCATGATACCCTCTATGCAGACTCAGAATCCCATCAACAAGAGGCTAACCAGGAAGAGATTCGAGCCGGGGTTGTTGATGTTCCACCTGAATCCAAGAAACGAAAGGTGAACGGATCATTGAGTTCACATTTAGCGACAGGAAAATGGTCGCTTAGCAGAGAACAAGGGAGTAAACTACTTGGAAGACAGTATCGTGATGACTGTTTATACGTTTGTGATTGGCCAGGCTGTGTTCATTTGGAAGAGAAGAGAAAGTACAGACTTTTCAGAGGAGTTTTTATGAATTTCAAGAGAACTCGTGTTTGGAAGACGGTGAATGATTGTAGTAACCGGAAGAAAATTGATTTGCCTTGTGCTTTTTGTTCTTGTAACCATACTTGGGATCTTTACTCTGCCTTTTGTTTGAAGAGAGGGTTTGGCTTTCATGAAGATGGTGAGCCTGTTGTTAGGGCTTATGTTTGTGATAATGGTCATGTTTCTGGTGCTTGGACTGATGTTCCTATGTACTCTTGATCATTCTTTGATTTGTTTTTGTTGTTTTGTTTTCATGTTATGTCTTTTCTTTATTGAACTTCATAGTTGTCATTGTTTGTTTCTCTAGTATATGAGAAGAAAGATCTCAAAGATATGAGACTAGTGTTTATTTCCATTTGTATCTTGTATAAGTTGTTTTTGTACTTCTTCATTTTAGTATTATCATCATTAGTATATCAAGTTTGTGTTTGATTTCAAGAGTTTGTCTCATGATCCTAGGTTTTAGTCGCAGATGTATGCACACTTGGCCGAACTATGCCTCATTCATACCGAAATGAATGTTAGTTCGAATCATAATTTTGTGTGTAGTCTTCCATAGACACGATAGAGTTACCGAAACCCGAAACTATTTTGATCGGTATGAGCCTGAAATAGTGAGATGGCGATTCTTATATCATGTACAAGAGAAAGGTATTGAGTGTGGCAGAATTGCAGTACACATATTATTCATTTAAGCAGAGAAGTGACAGAACATTCACATTTACAAACTATTACAGTGTTTTGATTATAATAAAAAGTGAAATGAAACTTATTCTATAGAGTCAACATGACATGGAATAAACAACATACTGTAATAACTTTTTTTAAAGGAATTCATGTTTTCTTTTGATGAAAAGATTTATTCTTATTGCTATAGTCTATGATAATGTAGATGCAACCAATGAGATCAGTGTTTGGTTTTTGGTTTCTTCACAATCATCACAGTGCAATGAGCATGATGAGCACAATAGTCACTCACACTGCCTAAAACCGCCCTGCAAAATAAACAAGTTTCAAATCATAAGTAAATTAACATATTATTTTGATTCATCTGAGAATACCAAAACCTGTACCTTTTTAAAGCTCCATAACCATGACAACCAACAACCAATGTTGAAGCGTGGTGCTTCTCCACAGCATCACAAAGAACATTTCTAGGATCACCTTCCACGGTTTCCACAACTATGTCTTTTACCTGATAATCATCAAACTAGTTATCAGATCATAACCTACACGCATGCATGTTGAACAACGACTCTGACACTGACACGAGAGACACACCTTCGTATTAGAAATGCATATAATATAACAATCAAAATCCGAATTCTAAAACAGAAAATGACGAGCTGATTAATCAATTACCGATCTCTTGGTGCAGATTTCTCTAGCTCGTTCAATAATCAACGCAGCAGTTCTTTTCAAATCGGCATCCACAATTGGCAGCACCTCAGCAGCTCCTACAAAAACATTGTTACAAAATCAAAATCATCAACAGCAACACCGTGTTTAAAATCAAATATCATCAACAATCATGAATATATGTACCAGGTCCAACGAATCCAACCCTAGAACTAACAGAAGGTTTCGCATGAACAAGAACAAGTTTGAAGATTGGATTTGGTGATTGTGTAACCAAATGATCCAAAGTCCATTCAAGAGCGTAGGTACTATAATCGCTGTCGTCCATGCCGACCACCATCACTTGCTTCTCCGGAATTTGAGCCATTGATCTTCTCTTTCTCTATGCAACTTCTTCAATCTTCAATGTGAAGTTATTTTTTACTTTACTAAGGTGCAATATGTAACTAACTATGCAAGAACAAGTGGCTTTGTGAACTTATTCATACATTCTGAGTATGTATGTATAAATATATACACCACAATAATAATAATGATGAAGCATTTGAATCGGGTTCCTTGCGTAGCACGCACTATTAGGTATTCTTTTCTATATAATTCTAGAATTTAGTAGCTGAAAAAATGAATGGACAGAACTATATAATCGTCACAAAGCTTAACAAAAAGCATCGTTAAGAATAAATGGTAGATATGTATATGTTCGTTTTAGATCTTTTCATATAAAAATAGTAATGGTAGATACAACTTTATCTATAATTAGGTTTAAATAAAACAAAATTTAGTTTTTTTTTTTTTGACAAAATTTAGTTGAATTCAAATATAAGTCAAATAAAGTTATGAAGTGAGTCAATATGTATTATCAGCCATTGATAGAAAATAATATTTATTCATTTCATCCTAGTTCACCACATTGAAAAGTCTCAAAAGTTTTTAAATTTTAAAGATGTATCTTCGAACATATTCAAATTATATATCTCAAAATTTTAATGAATGAGCCACACCACTATTTTATTTGAAAATATATCTGGAGATACATCTCCGTAATCATATTAGAGTTAATTTGGAGATATATCTTCGTAGCAATCCTTATTTCAAAATTTAAAAAAGTTTACATAAATGCATATCCGGACTCATTCTAGAAACTTAAACCATAAACCAGTAACAAATGGATGCAAAAAGTTGAATAAAAATATAAATTAATATCAAAATGCGTAACATTATATAGATAATCGTAACATATAAACATAATATAAATTTAACATTATATTTCTGCATAACATTGCAACATCTTCACAGTATTTTCGGTCAATTTCGCAATCTTCACATCCAGTTCAATCGGAATCGGATTTTTTGTTTCGTAAAGGTGAAATGTACTCCACATAACCCTTAAATCTTTATCTATTTTCAACTCAAAGTTGTTGAATTGAATATTCTATTCGTTGTCAATCGAGAGTGAACGATTCTTGAGCCTTACAACTCTTCGTTTGTCAGAGTATTGTAGGATATTCTCCACTATGGATTTCAGATCTACAAGAGAAGTGTACTTTGTATTCCTAAATTTAAGTGAGAGCTTTGCGCCGTTGAAGTACACAAATGTGACATGCCAATATATGTTCATTTTCTAGTGTGTTGTGTTTTGGTGAACAATATGAGATGACATACCACATATTTATACAATTTTTATTATGAACCTTAGAAATCCTAAACTATCTCCAAGAATATTTTGGATATGAATCTCCGAAAACACTCTATTTGTTTTCAATATAAGAGTTTTTTATGGAGATGTATCTCTGAAATACTCCATGTTTGATATTTTTTTACAGTTACTCTAAAAGTGCAACTCCGTAAACGCCCCAAGTGTTATACAAAACTTGTTTTATGCAAGGAGAAACTTGGTAATAAGTTGAAACATAAAGTTTTTTTAAAATTGACCCAAATTATTATATAATTAATGTTAAATATACATTACATATGTATCAAGTCGTGTCAACAATTCACACAATAAAAGAGTCACCATCTAAATACATTGTTAGATGAAAACTAAAAAGCATCAAAGCATGTGTCATCACCTAAATCTATTTCTGTGGGTGGTCTTGTCGTTGAGTTTTCCTTATTTAATTCTCTTTCAATCTCGATCGACTTGGTAAACTCTTCCATCCTTTCCAGAAAGTGATTAGGCCAAGTTCAGTCTCTTTTATGAAATGCGTCATCCACTCGGGTGATGTCTTTGGCATTGGAAACCCCGATTTCACATATACTTGAAAAAATGCTTTCTTTTTGAAAGCTACCAAATACACATGATGCATCTTGATGAACTTTGAGATCGCCTAATCTGAAGTGGAAAAAATGTTTATTGTCAGATCGATACATACCCTATCATAAGCACTTGATATAAGATGTCCTATTTTAGGGAAGCGTGTTCATTTTCCAAATGGCGCCGAACCACTAACACAAGGAATAAGAGCATTGAGAATTACATTCTGATCAGAACCTGAAGTAGGTCAAAGACAATCATTCATGATGCTGAGTGTGTGAGGTGAAGACAGGGGTGTATCTGCAAGGTACTTCGATGCTAAAGTAAGAATCGGGAGAAAGAAGACAAGTACAAAATATGTGTGTATCAGGGTGAATATTGGATACCTTCCCCTCCCAAATGAGAGGATTTTTATAGTGCTCCCAGCGTTTGGCCATTGGTCCCTATTTTCGAGGCGAGATAACTGTTTCCTGAAGAATAGGTAACTGCCAAAAACTAGCCGTTGGGACGGGCAGAGGTGCCCAGAACTAGCCATTGCTACAGATAGGGGCGCAATAACGGGCACAAGTGTCGTAACTGTTTCTAGATGGTGGGATCATGCGTGACATACAAGGATTGACGAGGAGAAGCACTAGTTCTAAGGTAAACTGATCAACCTCCCATGGTGGAGAGGCAAAAAGGTAAATGCTCCCCTAAATTAGTTGGACTTAGGTAATTGGATCGTTCTGAGAGTAGAAGTGGATTGGGTCATGCTTAGCCGTTGGACAAGTCCGGAAAAGTAGCCCCCCAAGTCATTGCTCCTGAGAATGAGAGTGATGACTTAAGGAAAGTTTGCACTACTGGGGAGGACCGAGAAAGGTCGACGCTTGTTACAGAGACGAGGTTGTTACTTGTTGCCTAGGGGAATTTGTGCTCGGGGACGCGTAACGCTGCATGTCGGGGAGCTTAAGGTACAAGGAGACCAAGGACTGATGGGATCTGAAGAGGTGAAGTTCCACGCGTGCCTCGATCCATCTGTCTCATTTAATGCATAATGATGGCTAGGTTAGGGTCATGATGATGCTCCTAGCCGTGTGTGCACGTGGCATAGATTGTCTACAAATAGAGCGAGAAGCTATTCATTTGCACTTTTCGCTTCTCTCTCTACTCTTTCTATCTGTTTTTGCACTCCGCCGTCTGCCGCCGTCCAATTTCGTCCGACCTTCGTAGACTCACCTGCTAGAGCCCTTCAACCCTAAAATATCTTCCTCAACCACGTAAGTACTTGAACTGATCTCTTGTTGTAGGCCTGTTAATTTTTTGCTTCTTAGAATGCATGTGGTTAGGGTTGAAATGAGGTAGCTTAGGGGTTGTTTTCTGGTGATTGTTGGTGGCAGGTGGTGGCTTGACCACTTTCTTCTGCTGTCGGCATTGATAGAGCTCTTAGAAGCTTAAGATGTTTATTTGATCCTGATGCTGTTGCGACACGAAAGCATTCGTCGCCTACGTGAACCGTGAAATTTTGGTGTGCTTATGATATTTCTGGTCGTTTCTCAATGGAAATTCTAGATTTTGTACAAGGGGAATTGTAACACCTCAAATTTATTGGAATATTTATTTAATTTATTTAAATAGGAATATTCATATTTTTGGTGATTTGCGGTGGTTGGTATGAAGTATTGAGAATTATGGATTTTGGGTTATTTATTTAAATAATAGTATATAACATGAATATATTGGTATTATTATTAAATTAAACAAATATAAGTGAATTAAGGGCAAAATGGACATTTGAGGAGGAGTTAGTGAAGGTGAAATTGGGAAGCCCCATTTTAAGGCCCAAAGTTAGGTTTAACAAAAAAGAATTTTGAGGGAATTAGGATTCATTCTTGTTAAATCGTGAAAAGAGAAGAAATAGAGGCCAAAGCTCTGAGGGAAGAGGATTGAGGCAAAGCTTCACGAGGTTTCCAAGAATCAAAGGAGAAAAGTTTATAGTCGGAAATTAAGGTATGGGGAGTATTACCTTCATTGTTTTCAATATGTATTCGATGTGTTTAAAGCCGATTTAAGGGTTTAGGGATTTTGAGTATTGAGTTGTTGTTGTTGTCTTTCTAGTGAGTTTAATGAGTTTGAGGGACTTAAACTGATGGTCTGATAGGTTTGAGGCTGATTTGGGAGTAAGGGAAATTAGGCCTTCATGGCCAAAATCTATTGTTGAGGTTTTAAGTGTATAGGATAATTGATTATGAGAACTCTAATGAACGTGGGAAAATTGTAAGGATTTTATAGGAATTGGAGACATAAATATGATATGGGATTGGCCTAATAAGTCGTAGATTTTGTGCCTTTATCACCGTAATACCTTAGGAATGATTGAGGGATGTTTTGGGGGCATTGGGGAAGGAAATCGTAGGGACTTTTGGACTGTTTTTGCTACTGTTGTATAACAACGATTTGCTGTAATCGTGAGTTCGTACGACGAAGACTCGCTCCAGACTCGCATGGCGAGCTTGCCAGCAAATGTAGCAGAGTTTCGCGAATTATGTTCTGGTTCAGTAATGTATTGATGTTTTGATGCCGTGATTTTTCTTATGAATTACCATGAGTGTAACTATGATTCCTATGTGATTAAATGAATGTATGATGAATTACTATGAGTATAATTGTGTTTCCTATGTGATTAAATGAATGTATGATGAATTACCATTAGTATAATTGCGATTCCTATGTGATTAAATGAATGTATGATGAATTACCATGAGTATAACTATGATTCCTATATGATTAATACATGATTGCATGATGAATCCCCATGAGGAACTATGATGATTTGTTATGTTGATTCCATGAGTTTTGATGATTCTATGATGACGTGATTCTTATAATTATTTTGATGAATGATGATGTACCTAATGAGATTATTATAAGGATGATATTGACGTGTGCAACATGCATTCATATGCATTCTGGACTTTGGTCTAGTGTTTGATTCTTGTGGCTTTAGTCCCATTGTGCGGATGTGAAGTATTTTGTTGTGCTCTGGTTCTTGTGTATAATCGATCCTATTGATGGGGATCTATGGAGGGTTGATGACCCAGTGTCCATCGAATTTTGATGAATTGGTACCACATGCA